AGGAATGTATCTTAAAATCATATGGGTAGTTGTCAAAATTATGGTCCCTTTTTGGGTACCCTAAATAATAGGTGCCGTACTATATTAGGGACCCAAAAAGGGACCCTAATTTTGACAACCACCCATATGAAGGATTTTGTAAGGTATCCCCAAAAAGGAACTACAATGGCGACTACAGGTAGTGTCTTAGACTCTCGCAGCTCGGAGGTTTAGGGGTTGGCGACAGCAAACCCTAGGCCGTGCAACTGAAATCCCAAGCCCAAGGTCTTTTGACCTTACGAAGACAGTGAAGCCGCGGCAGCAACAGCTGCAAAACAAACCACCCTCAAATCAATTCCACGGTACCTGTCACCCTAGAAACCTTCGCTAAACGGACCACCCTACACGATACATGCCCTAAGCCCTAAACCTGTACACCGTGCAGTAAGTAATGTAAGGGCCCGAATAATCAGAATAGGGTTTTTGGGCCCACTATACTATAACTATAATAAGGAAGCCCGAAACAATGCAATTATTTTAGGCCCTCTTTTTAGTAGATCCCCCCCAGGCTTGAAAGCTTCAGAGGCCCTTGGACATGGAAACCATTCGCTGATACTCTTCCAGCTTCATGCGGCGGAACTCCTGGAACGAGACACTCTTTTTTGCCTCCTACCGCGACACTCTTTAAGGTTTAGGGTTTCAGCACTCACTCTCGTTTAGAAGGGTTTAGGGTTTAGGGTTTAGGGTCTTTAAGGGTTCAGGGTCTTTAAGGGTTTAGGGTTTGGGTCTTTAAGGGTTCAGAATTCAGGGTCTTTAATTGTTTAGGGTTTAGGGTCTTCAGGGTTTAGGGTTTAGGGTCTTTAGGCTTAGGGCTAGGCCCTGGGGCTTTTGAAGCTCTCGCAGAAAGCCAGGCAAGGTCTTTCGGTCTTCGGCGCACTTGGACAAGTTCAGGGAAGGTCTTCCTGTGCACTGGGGAGGTTTTAGGGCTTACCCTTAGCATCAAAACAGCCCAAAAGCCTCATATAATAGGGTCTTTGGGCCCAAAAGCTTTAAAATATGAGTCCTTAGAGCCTTAGGGTTAGAGTGTCTATCGGGCTTGTTGGGTGCAGGTGCCCTGCGGTTGATGGGGTTTCAGGTTTAGCTAGGCCTGAAAGGTGCATAGGCTCAGGAGCACAATCACTTGGATTCACGCTTGGGCGAAGACAGAGCCTGTGTGCCAGTTTAGGGTATACGTTCTCGCAACTCGGACTCCGCCAGACGAGGTCTCTGTCTCCAGTTTCACTAAAGCGACTCTGCAACAAGGTAGCCCCTCGCCAAGGGTTCTCCTTCTCGGCTGCCTTCCGAGTCACCAGAGAGACCTGATCATCCACCTGGGCCCATGCGCATGCTTTGTGCGGCAGATCTCTGGCCGTCCCGCATAGAACCATCTACTTAGCCCTGGCCAATGTGCTTAGGACTGGTGTAGTAGCTGTCGATATTAAATTTAGTCATCTAAGTGTATTCCGACGCTGTTATCATGAAATGACTCACACATGCGGAGGCAATGAAAGTTTAATAACCCCAAACGGTACCTGATACCGACAGTCAAAAGCCGGGCCGCCGATTTCTGCGCTCGCTCTGCTTCGGTCATCGGCGTGCACGTCCGCCGGTGGAACTTCCAATCCTCCTTTTGGCACTCTTTTGAGCCTTAGTGCGGCTTTTTAATTATGATATTGATTTACTAGCGGCATCATTGTTATTATTGGTGGTGGTGGTGCTGGTGGTGGTAGTAGTAGCAGAAGTAGTAGTAATAGTAGTAGCGCTGCTTTAAGGCTTCGAAGTTCAGGGAATTTTGGAGTCTCTGCGTGTCTCAAGTCGCCATGGTTCAGAGCCTTCAAGCAGAAAGGTCTATTAATCGAACCTTCTGCTCGGTTCTCTGCGGCCAGAAACAAGCACTCGGCTTGATGAAAATGAGCTCGCGCAGAAGCACAGCTGTTCGAACAAGGGCCTCTTTGAGCAAAAGAGCCTGTGGAACGATCTCTGAACGACAAGGATGGTGCATGACGAATCAGATGGGGTTTCGGGATAGCCTACTGTGCTCGCACAGGGGCTGTATGGAGCTGTAAGGGGTGCTATCACTCATTGTTCGGACATAGAATAACATAATTCCACATGCTACACTACAATATGATGTAACACAATACAACCCAGCAGAATATAATCGAACGTTAGTAATCTAACATAAGACCACGTAACAAAACATGACATAGTACAATATAACATAGTACCATATGGCAAATTGGCAAATATCTAGTGTAGAAGTATGATATAAGCTAGTTTAGCCTAGTCTACTCAGTTTAGTCGAATCTAAATTATATAGTACAATTTACTATAGCATATAGTATATAATAAACTGTAATTATATAATGCAAGAAATATGCACGTATAAGGCGACCTGACAGGGGCGGAGACTGAGTCCAGTGCAGTAAATCGCCTTCGCACAGCGCCCACAGCGCAGCTGCGAGAACTGTTGGGTGATGCTTCGCGAACAGTTCCGGCACCTCACAGAACGAGTAAGACGATATAAAACGGAGTTAGTACGAGTTCGGGAAGTAGGGCTGTCCATGCCAAAGATTCCGCGCAAATCTCGTACTGTAGCAAAGACTTACAACTTGCCTATAAACATGGAGCGAAGAGTTGCCATGCAGACAAAGCGAACCACATGCCAAATCAGGCAAGTGGCTCCAAGACGACTGTCGGCCTCTGCGGAACCTGTCCAGCGGCATGTGGTCACAGTCAACGTTCTCAGATTTAGCGAGAAATTCAGCCCAGAAATTGTGACACCCAACACTGAGCTACACAGGCGAGCAAACTCAAACCTACATGACACCATGTCGAACAGAGGCTGGAAAAGATAAGCCATCCAAAGGCTCAAGCATTCTGCGTGGGATTGCCTGCCCAGACCTCTCCGGGTCACTATGATCGATTTCAGAGAGCAAAGGGCCCAATCCTAGACCCTAAGCCCTAGGCTCCCTCAACCCCAATCCTAGAATTCTAGACTCTGCACGTACCTAGGATCTTTCTTCATCGGAAGGAAGCCATAGTTCTATAATGAGAGGACACGAAATCAGGGGCCCCAATCATCAGAATAGGCTTTTGGTGGCAAACTATACACATGATACTAGAGGATACTACGTGTATGTTGTGGGCTAGAACAAATTCGGACCTCTATGGTTTTAGGGTTCTGTACCAAATCGTATAGGAGCTGAGAGGATCGAAGGAAGATGTGTTGTAAGACGGAATGCCGTAGAAGCAACCATGCTTAGTGAAACCACCCCTAAACCAGCCGGCCTGCATCTACTCTTGTTTGTCGTGCTACCGTAAGAAGCTCGGTTTATGTTTTCACAACATGGAACACTGCAGCTGGAAGATGTCAACAGCAGTTGAGGGTTTACGTAGGTTTGAGGCCCGGGCTTGCGCAGATTGTTGAAAACCCCACCATGACTTGGGAGCACTGCCCACAGAGCACCAGCTGAGGTTGGGCGGAGCCGTGGGGATCTGGTATCGGGAAATACGAAGCGAGTTGTTCATTCAATGCAGGGGTACCGTCGGTTGACACAAAGTGAAAAAAGCTCGTGGAGCACTGCAACCTCCGGCACCCCGTATATGGGGCACGGACACTGTGTAGCACGGCGCCCACTGAAGACAAATGGGTGCGCTATGCCCGAGCTTCCGCTGTATTACAGGTACTGGAATTACTAGACATGCCCAGAATCCTAAAGCGGGGTTATCACAAAGCACGAGTCCACTCACTACACCTCAGGAGATGGATCCTACTTTACCCTACATGGCTCGTGTGAAAAGTGCTTTCCTTCTCGCAGCAGACTGAACAGAGTCAAAAGCGTGCCTCGATGTCTTTTTCGGTCAACTCCGGGTACTTTGCATTCGTGTCGTCGTCGCTCTCATCCGCCACCGCAGCAGCGAAACCTGACCAGAAAATCAAGCTACAAGGCACTTGCTTCGGGCTGAAGGTTCTGGGATGTTCTATTGCGGATTCTGTGGGTGGCATGTGTCGGCGGACGGTGGTGGACGACGGCAAGTGCAGCCCAAGGAACGGCTGTAGTCAAGCTGGCTTTGGCTGCCGTCGCCCCACACGCAGGGCCTGCCATTTTATCATTAAATGACAATTCATTCTATTGCCTCTGCCACCCAGCTAGCAAATCCGCATTGTAACGCTGAATCGCCACCCTAAGCCTTCCACTCTGAAGAGTAAGACCCTCGAAACCCAACCCCACTTCACCCTGAACCACAAACCCTAAACCACAAACCCTAAACCCTAAACCCTAAACCCTAAACCCTAGACCCTAAACCCTAAACCCTAAACCCTAAACCCTAAAAACCCAAAACAAAATAAGCCCCATCCCCTACTACGCAGCCGTCTAAGGACCCAGCCGATGGGTCGTCTGCGGTGCTAGCGGCTCCTCGACCTGGGGCACCTCACCTTCCCGAAGCGTTAAAGGGTTTAGGGTTTAGGGTTTCGGTTTAGGGTTTCAAGGTTTAGGGTTTAGGGTTTCAAGGTTTAGGGTTTCAAGGTTTAGGGTTTAGGGTTTTGGGTTTAGGGTTGTTTCTTCGGGGGCTTGTAAACGTCCAAAGAGCTTTGATTGCGTTGATCGAGCGGCAACTGCTTCTTTCATGACAGGGAGTAGCTAGGGGAACCGAGGTGTTTAAGGATTTGGGGTTCAGAGTTCTTAAGGGCTCTTAAACTGACTCGTGAACCAGTTTGTCCAACTAACTAACTAACTAACTAACTAACTAACTAACTAACTATCTAACTAACTATCTAACTAACTAACTAACTAACTAATTAACTAGCTAGCTACCAAACTAAACTAAACTAAACTAAACTAAACTAAACTAAACTAACTGATCAACTAACTAACTAACTACCTGCGAGCATCTAACTAATGAACTAACTCACTAAGTACTGAAATAATCATTCAATTACATACTGAATTGTTTAAGTCATTATTTGAGTAAATACTTAATTACTTTGGTTTGTTAGCTAAAAATAAGTAAATACATATATATATATACATATATATATATAACAGATAGAAAGACAGATAGATAGATGAACGGATGGATGGATAGATAGATAGGTAGACAGATAGATGATAGATCGACCGTGTATTGAAGTTTCGGACTTTGGAGCTTTTTGGAGCACTTCGGCTTCTAGGGCTAAAAGCTTGCCAGTGTGAGAGTTTAGCAAAACCTCTCAATACTTTCAGTTTAGGGTTTAGGGTGTAGGGTTTAGGATTTAGGGTTGAGGCTTTGGGCTTTATAGGTCTCGACTCACACACTCGCACAAGGCTGGCATGGCATTCGAGGTCTGGGCTTTCTAGGTTTAGGGTTTAGGGTTAAGTTTAGGGTTTAGGGTAATCCATAGCGTAAGAGAGGCGCGGCTGCCTTCCACAAGCGTCCTGGAGCTACTGGCTCTGCGGCAATTCCGTCGACTACTACCACTCCTAAAACCCCATAGAACAAAGATCACAAAGGCCGTCTTGAACGAGCCCCAGCCGGAAACAAAAAAAACAAACTACAATCAAAGCCCAGGCAGCTTAGCTTCCAGTGCTTACGATTCGCACGTGTGCTTGGGCATGCGATGTCCAGACCCTCACCTGTAACAGGTGCCGCACAGACAAGACCGGTCCTAAACCGCAAGCGCAAAGCCCTAGGCCCTAGAAGCCCGAACCCTAAACCCTAAACCCTAAACCGAAATCCCTGAACCCCTGGAAGCGATTGAAACCTGACCAAGCTTAGGCCTTCGCTGAACCCCACTTTGGGGGTTTAGGGCTTGGGGTTTTTTCAGGCCTTGAAAATCAATATGGTGCATCCGGGTATATGATAAGTACGAGAACAAGGACGATAAGGGGGTCATCTTACTACCCCCTAAACCCTGCTATTAAGACCCCTACTAGGTCACAGTCCGTCACAGATCCACTTACGCGTCATGGCCTTGAGGTGCCCGGAAAAACAGCCGGAAAAGGCGGCGGGGGCAGAGAACTCCCGACCAGCATGCACCTTTGTGCAAGGTCTGTTCTTTGGGTTTAGCGTTTAGGGCTTGGGGTCTGGGAGGTTTAGCACCCAGAAAACTGAGCCGTAACCCTAACGTCTCAAAGCCCTACCAACACCTGAACCCCAAATGCTACACCGTAGCCCTTCCTGAAACTCTGGCTCCCTGCTCTGCCTCGAACCTCCTCACTGAACCGTCTTTTCTTGCAGTTTCGGGTACTTCACGGCCTACAAAACCCTAAATACTAGGCGTAGAATAGAAGGGCTGATCCCTGTCCCTATGGCCCTGCTGCAGGGATGGTTGACTAGTTCCATAAGTTCATAGCAGGCTGTATACCAAAACACCACCTTAACTAAACACCTTGTCTTCCCTCAACCAGACTATACCCTGAACCCGATAATCGAACTACCTTACTAGGCTGTAGACACTCCCCACGTCCTTAATCAAACAGACGCGACATGCGAGGGCCGTTACAAGAAAGCAGTGTATCAAGCTTTCGAAACCGCTTAGGGTCCAGGATTGAGGGCTCTGCTGAGATGGAGGATATACCAGCGTCGAGTTCATGGTTGAATCCGGCGGGGTCCTGCTTGCAGCCTAAGAACCTTTATCCAACCATTTCGACCATTTAACTGACCTAAACCCTAAACCCTAAACCTTAAACTACCCTAAACCCTAAACCCTAAACCTTAAACTACCCTAAACCCTAAACCCTAACCTTAAACTACCCTAAACCCTAAACCCTAAACAGACTGAGCATGACAGACGGAAGCAAAGCCGGACAGAGCACAGAGAACCGAACCGCCCGAGAACCTTTGGGGTCCCTTCCGAATTCTGGGTGCATTGGAATGATCCTTAGGGTATAGTGTTTGGGGTTTAGGGTTTAGGGTTTAGGGTTCAGGGTTTAGGATTTAGGGTTCAGGGTTTAGGGTTTAGGGTTATAGGGCTTAGGGTACATAGCCTACATTGGAGTACAGCAATACTCCCAAAGAGCAGGAAATCCGCCGGAAGACATGACTTCAGAGGCCCAAGATGCGCATCCCCGGAGCACGAGGATCTGTTGATGCCATGGCCGCTGCAGCTTCGTGGCAGCGGACAAACACTCAAGCCCAAATCTATCTTGCAGTGCCACAACTTGGAATCTGTATAAAATGAGCACCACATGAAAATCTCCAACCTCTGGTGTTTCACTCTGCCTTGGGTATAAGGCTATAAGCCGCTCCTTGAGCAACTGCATCTCACTGACGCGCGCGTCTTTCACAAGCCCCTCTACGGGATTACTGTAGGGGCCTTAATAATTAGAATAGGGTTTTTGGGCCCGTTATACTATAAATCTAATAAGGAACCCCCAAAATGATGTAGGTAATTATTTAGGCCCCTATATTACTGAGGTCCAGGTTGGTTCCTCTGATGTCCGTTTCTATCGCCAAGCACGGGACTTCATTAGCTTTATAGGGTTGAGGGTTTTATCATGTCTTGCAAGAGTACCCGCCGGACGAGTCAGTGTGAAGCAGAGAAAAACACATGCAACCTAGTACATGCACCAGTGGGATACCAAAATATACAACACTACAGCAAAACCAGAATTGATACAGTCGAAGACCGTAGGATGATCTCAGCCGAAAGGTGCGCCTGGTGAGTGCGATGAGACCGGTCTTGCTCGTGGAATAAGAGTAGGTCTCTGCTGGTGGCGTTCGCATACCGTCGATGCTGCCTCGGCAGAGCGTGCAACAGTCCCTAGCTTGGCATTTATAGGGCTTAGGATGTAGGATTAATAAGGCTTGGATTTTGGACATCGCTTCTCGCGGGCGCACAGCAGCATAGCAAGCATCTAGATGTGGGCAGGCACGATCTTTTGAAAGCTCGCCTTTGCTGTACAGCGATGCAGCACTGTTCCTGGCCGACGCGGGCCCATCTCGTAATAGTATGTTTTATGAGAAACTACCAGGACTACAATCGGTCGTTGTCGGACAAGTGCCGGATATCATACCTGGCTGCAGGATGCTGCAAACGGCTGGTAGGCTTTTTCGAGTGTGAGGGCGTCGAATGCTGTCTCAGCTTGCTCTCAAACGCCGAGAGCGCCAGTGGGAGCGCGCCCGTCACAAGTCCAGCCCAGCGGGAATAGCCTCAGCTCACAAGCGAGGCAGCGAAGCCAGAAGCCGGGCAGCTCTGAAGGGCAAACTAACACACATAGAAGTGTTAACGATTACGATGGATATGGGACCGCAATCTATGTATATATATATATATATATGTATATGTCTGTGTGTGTGTCGGATCCTGGAGAGCTCATGCTGAACGAGGAGCTCCGTTCTCCTGCCCCTGTGCCGGCAACCGCCCTGCAGGAATCGCATAGCCGCCCTCCTGAACTTCAGGATTTCGTGTGGTCTGAAAGCGTTGGGAGAGAGTGGGTTTGGGGTTTGGGGTTTAGGGTTTTAGGGTTTAGGGTTTGGGGTTTTAGGGTTTAGAGCTTTAGGGTTTTAGGGTTTAGGGCTTTAGGGTTCTAGGGTTTAGGTTTTAGGGTTCAGAATGGTTTAGGGTTTAGAGTCGCTGCGACGAAAGTAGCAGGAATAATTTCGTAGGCAACCGGCATCTCTCAGCACTGAAAGGCTTCTCCTAGCTGCTCCGATCCTGGGAAAACTGCGGACCTACGTACATACACCGTACATACGCACGAACGGGCAGGCAGACAAACAACACACATACATCCTGATACCATAAGCATTCCCCACACAATCTGAAACTCTAAACCCTAAAGCTCTATGTGAATTATTCAGCCCCATATGCAGGTTTCCGAAAATTGGGGTACCTTATTTTGGTGTCCTTATAATAATAAGGATCCTGCTATTTTTAGGTCCTATATTAGGGTCCCTTAGTTTCGGAAACCTCCATATATCCTCAACCCTCGTCAAACCCTTCTAGGGCCCTGAAGCACCCCGATGTTTCGTACCCAGTAAACCCACCCTAAACCCTAAACCCTAAACCACCCCAATCTCAACAGAGCACCAGTCCTGAGCAAGCGGGAGCTGCCCAGGAGGGATCTCCACGGGCGGCGAGAGCTCTCGGATCTTTTCCTTCCGTTTCAGGGCTTAGGGTTTAGGGTTTAGGGTTTAGGGGTTCCGTTCAACATGGTTTCTAATTGGGTTGCTGCAAAGCAGGAGTTTACAGGGCTCTCTGACGGTTTTTAACGGTGTTCCACCGGGTTGCGCTAAATGGCTCTTTCCATCGGCTTTCGCAGGGGGTTTCCAGCTGTCCAAGCGTAGGATGTTTCAAGGCACGCACTAGTATGAGGGCAAGGATCTTGGGCTTAGGGTGAGCACAGCAGATCTCCACCTTGAAATGCTGCGTGCTGAAGTACTGGCTAGCTCTATCTGTATGTCTAATGAATTATGGTCTGAAAACCTTCTGCTGTAGTTCCAAAGGACTTCGTGTAGGAGCTTTAAGAACTAGAACTAGATTCTGGAAAAGCTAGTACGATGTAATTGAAAGTACTTCCGGAACTAACTATCAGTGGATAATACGCTTCATTGCTCAGCCCCTATATCTCCTTCTGTTCAAACGATAACCTAAACCCTAAACCTGATACTTTCGGATTCGAACTTAGGGGGACAGGGCCGGCATGGTAATGAGGTCTGGTTCCAATCTGGCTCCAACCCACCCTTACACCAACCTCTGGCATGCAAGCCCTAAACCCTAAGACCCCAGCAAGTCGGAACTACTTTCGAACCCTCATCCGTGATCCGTGAGGCTGAAGCCTAAACCCTAAACCCTAAACCCTAATCCGTGATCCGTGACGCTGAAGCCTCAGTCATCTCCAAAATCCCTTTACAGGAACACGCAGCAGAAACTCCTCTTACATCAGTGTGTACTTAAACCTGAAATCCTAAACCCAGCTGAATCTCCAGTGCCTCGATCTTCAGCAGGCGGTCCCCCTTAGTCTTCAGCACCTTTATGTTGTCCTGGGTCCGATGCAGACCCGCTTGGATCAGGGCTTTAGATCGTCAGGGCCATATAAGTACGAGTTTACCATAGGGCTTTAAATGGGTTGCGATACCAAACCGACACTGTAAACCCTAGACCCTAACATTCTATAGGGTCTATAAACGAAAGCTGAATGTAGGGGCCTTATTCGAATTGGGTTTTGGGCTATGTTATACTATAATTACAGTAAGGAACCCCCCAAAAGAGTATAGGTAGTTATTACGGCCCTTACATTAGCCTCTACATTCCTGCTTACAGCGTTCAGAGCTGCGGGTCGGGACGCTTGCATACCCTTGACTCCCAAGGCTAGGAAAGATAGGTCTAGGGTTTAGGGTTTCATTTTGTGGTTTAGGGTTTAGGGTCTAGGGATTAGGGTTTAAGGTTTAGAGATATTTAAGGTGTCCATCACGACACCGTGCCCAAGCGTAAAATCTCCCAAGGAACACAAATCCCGCCTCTGGACCTGACTTTAGTGTGACTGCATCAAAAGTGCTATGACATGGTCTTGCAATCGGAACGCCCACAGCTTTCAGCAGCCTTTCAACAAATCCCTATAGCCCTAAAGCATTGCTCCTCGATTGCTTCTCTGAAGTCCGCATCATCTTCCTTCTCCAGCTCCTGGTTGGTACACGGTGTCCCGGGTCCCGAAACCACCCCCACCGCCACGAAAAGCTTCCCAACGTGCCCCCTGGCCCAACAATGTGCCATGTGCTCTACCTACAGAAACCTTCCACGCCATCCCAATCCCGGGTCTATCTACGTGAGAGAGGCTTCAACGAGTCACTCTATGCTCTGATGCCGGACGCCCTGAAACATTGTAGCCCCACGTCCTCAGCCACTGGCCAAAAACGCTCTGACTCTGAATCCTACACCTGAGCCCACGCCTCCCACACCCTGAAACCTGCGCCCTACATCCCATCTCTACAGCCCAACGGGCCCCAACCTAAGAAACAGACACCTCTGGGACAAGAAAAGACACTCTCCTATCATATGCCCTTCGGGCCGTATCATTGAATACATTGCTTTATCTACAATCTACAATGCCGAGTATTCTTCGACAGTTCAATCGGATGCTCACGCTCTGCTGTAAAGCCGAATATGGACATTCTTGCAAGTACTATAGCTATGCTGATATGGGTTTTTCATGTGCTGCTATTGCTGTAGCTGTTGTAGCTGCAGCTGTACTGTAGCTACAGTGGAGGTAGTCGTCGTCGTCGTGATCGTGGTCGTCGTCGTAGTAAGTAGCAGAAGAGGTAACCGTAGCGGTCGCTGTTGTTGCTGCTGTCTAGTTGTGCTTACTACTTGCTGCCAGCATTTAGAATTGCCTCAGGCCTTTTCGAACTGGAGCTCTTTCTGATCCGACCCTACCTGAGCTCCAAAACCTGAACTGACACAGGCGTCCTCTCTCAACTCCCGGTTCGACCGTTCGAGGTGCTGCATGGTCTGCTTCTCATATGCCTGCCGCAGGGTCGAGGGCTTCAGGGTGGATTTAAGTTGGGGTGTCGCAGGCTTCTGGGTTTGCGGCCTGGGCTTCCACGGGTAGGAATGAACGATTCGAGCTATTGATTGAAGTGGCTACTGTCAGACAATGGTATGAAAATTCCTCTGACATCGTGCCCATGCGAAGGCAAATCAGCCATTGTCATCATCAGCAATAAGGCCATCTGTGTCTTTGCTTCCTCCGAGAAGCCCCCGACCACTACAGAAAGATGCGAAAAACCTTCAAGATCTTGCCTGAACCCGCGTTTGCCCAAAGCTCACAATCCAAAGTCCATACCGAACACCCCAGTCTCGACACGAAACCGTAAACCCCGACCTTACTGTGCCAGCCTCAAGAGCCCGAAGCTCGTGCAAGCTGTCCGGCAGACCATCGTCATCTGTCCGTCGCGGCTCCAGCCGACCATGGATGCCACGCTTCGGGATGTGGATCTGCCACTTAGCCATGTTTTGTGCTTTGGCTAAGGGTTCAGGGTTTGACGCAGGGTGCTCTTAGCCTTTTGGCTTTCTGGCTAGAGTTTACGGCTTAGCGTACGTAAAATGACGTCATCCTGGTCAATGTGGGCTTAAGGGGCTGGGATAGAGTCGGCTAGATATTAAAAAGTAAGGACAGAAGCCAGGCATGCATGCTCGTTGTCTCACCTGCGACCTGCCTTACTCAGAACCCTAAGGCAGCCAAACATCTGGCTTGGGAGTTGTAACGCAATAGACTACCATGATATACGATGATGTTACAAAATAGACCATGAAATACTATAATGTACATGATATACTATGGACAGAAACATGCTGGAAGATGCAGCTGCCCCAGCCTCCACCATCGCTCAGGAATCGCTAGGGAAGCTTTCCGTTTGGTGTTTCTGCACTGGAAAATTGAGGATTAAGGCCATCAAGAAAGTGCTGCAGTCGCTGGCAATGTCGTCTGGAAAGTGGCTAGTGTAAGGGCTATAAGGTTACGATAATATAAAACACCTGGAAACATCCGGCTAGTTTCCCATCGGATTGGCCTAGCAGCGACCACCAACCATGCATGATTTCGCGTTGAAGCTTCCTAGCCTACCCGGACAAGACGGCTCTGCAGCCCCGCAGTCGCCTTGAAGCCAAAGCTGCGTTAGGGTTTAGGGTGGAATCCAAGAAAAATCACTCAAAAGCTTGCTGCTTCAACAGTAAGACACAAAACAAAACACAACGAAACGCCAGATTCCACTGGCTAGGCAAAGGCTCTTAGCATCATGTTTCCCACCGCGCTGAACCAGCCAGGCATGTCGAAAACCTTAAATGCTCGAGTAGCGTAGGGACCTGAATGATTAGTACTACAACCCCTCATAGCTCGACTCTCATAACTCTCATATACCCAAACCCGAAACCCTAAACTCTAAAACCCTAAACCCCTGAATATTCTAACCATTCAAGCCCCTACTTGTAGTAAGCCGGCGGCTGATGTTGATGACACTGGCCGGATGCCCCGGGCTCTGGGCGGCCTGAGAAGGATGTTGGCTTCATGCCTGAAACCGCCTTGGGGTTTAGGGTTTAGGGTTTAGGGTTTCGGAGTGCAGGGTGCGGGTTTAGGGTTCGGGGTTTAGAGCTTAGGGTTTCTAGACCCGAAACATGGCTAACACCTCAACCGCACACTCCTGGCCTCCAGCATTGGCAGGCAGAGCTTCGTCAGGTGGAATGGCGAGGTGACATTGATTCGAAGAATGTCTTCAAAACCCTTCCTCAGCTAGCATTTCGCTTCCCGCGCCCTGCCCACGCCCACGACGGCGAAAGTGCCAGCAGTAGCAGCAGCAGCAGCAGCAGCAGCAGCAGCAGCAGCAGCAGCAGCAGCAGCAGCGGCACAGTAGCAGTAGCGATGGTAGTAGTAGTAGTAGCAGTAGTAGTAGTAGTAGTAGTAGTAGTACTACTACTACTACTACTACTACTACTGCTACTACTACTACTACTACTACTACTACTACTACTACTCGTCGCCGTCGCCGTCGCCGCCGTCGTCGTCGTCGTCGTGGTGGTGGTGGTGGTGGTGGCAGTGGCAGTGGCAGTGGCAGTGGCAGTGGCAGTGGCAGTGGCAGTGGCAGTGGCAGTGGCAGTGGCAGTGGCAGTGGCAGTGGCAGTGGCAGTGGCAGAGGCAGAGGCAGAGGCAGAGG